GCATCTTTAAAGTTTTCCTTCAATACAAGTTTTTCAGCAAAACCTTTCTCATTCTCACCAGATAAAAACAAATGTCCATAAAGATTTTATATTTATATATACATACACACACACACACACACACACACACACACACACAATGTATCCACTGTAGGAGTCAATAGAATCTTGATAACTTATTTTCCATCCACTACCCTTGTTCCTCAAAGTAGCACCAATACTACTTGAGCTTCTGCAAAGTCTATAGAAATGCAAAACATCTAGCCCCAATTTTACACTTCCTGCATTAGAATCTGCAGCCAGATCCTCAAATGATTCATCTGCATACTCAAGTTTGAAAATCCTGCTCTGTAGCACCACTACCAAGAGTAAAGAGAGGGTCTTAGAACTCTCTATCTGTGAAGATGAGACTTTGTCATCCTGAATCTGACATTATTAAATATAACAATTAGACACAAATGTTATAAATTTTAAGTAAAAATATTGATATAGTAAAATTACTAAATTAAGAATTCCTTCAAAGATTCCATACAATAAATACCTGCCACAAACAAAAGAACATAGGTGCAACACAATACCAGCAGAATGAAGAACAAAAGAGTCTTTTGCAAGAAAAGTAGAAGTTAGCATATACCTCAGAAAATGACCAGCACTACCAAGTTTGAATATATACACACTTGATCCTGCTATTTTTACTCTAGAGTTCTAGAATAATTTTACAATGGAAACATTGAACAGCAGTTAAGAATAAATGTGCTAATAAGACTATGGTTGTGTGTGTGTATGAATATCAAAATATTGAATGAGAACAGTCTGTTGATCATGCACACATACATATTACCCACCACCTAAAGAAAAAACAGAAAACTTAAAATGGTTATATATAAGAAAAAGAGGGAAATGGAATTGGGGAACACAGTGGAGTTTCTTAAAATAGGATTTTTTACAGTAGAGAATACTTAAGTATTTGTTTTATTATTCATTTTAAACTGTTCAGTCATGTTGTATATAATTTGAATACAAGTTTGACATCAATTCAAAAATAAGAATAATCATTTATTATACAATTACTTTCTTCTACCCATTGTAAAAGGAATTTCTTGAACTGTCAATTGAAGATTTACAACAACCTTATGTGACATGCATTTTCCCATTTTACAATAAGTTAGCAACCACAAACTTACCTATGACATGTGGCTGCCAATAGCCAGAGTCATAACCATTTGACTCCAAAGTCCTCTAGTATCCTGCTTTTTGTACTAATGTTAGTTATTAACATTCTATTTCTGAAAGTCTAAGTACTTTACATATAATTTTTACAATTCTGTATTTTTACAGATATGGGAACTGAGGCATAGAAACTATGATTTATCCAAGAAAACATGGCTCCTATGTGGTGATGCTGATTTATATCACTGTCTTCCTTCATACTCTGCTGTCTTCTAATTCTAATCTCTGTCTCTGTGATCCATATCCATGATTTCTCCTTTTCTTCTACTAGCATTCTTAATTCAGGATAATTTCATCTCTTAGGACCTTAGACTGCAAATTATTTTCCTTGCTTTCAATGTTACTTCAATAACATATCCTCTGCACTGTTTCTATTGTTATTTTTCCTAAAATAAAGCTCTAACTAGTTTCAGCAACAAACTTTATTAACCTAATATGGACATCCTGTACGATAAACAGAAATAAATACTAGGCTAATATAAAACAAAAACCAGCTTATACCCTGGATTAAAAATTATGCTGGAAATAAACAAGGTTCTATTTCCATACCTCACTATAAGCAGAGAACACTGGCAGTCAAATTATCTATTCCCTAGGCAAAATGAAATTGAAATATTTTGTTCAAAAATATTGACTGGCCCCAGAAAAATATGTCCCATCCTATCATTTAGAAGAACCCAAGCATAATGGCCAGCATCTTGCCAATCAATCTGAAGTAAATTTTATGGTTCTACAAAACTCCAAAGATGGGTTAGTAAGGGTTCAACCAAGAAAAAGAATATAATCCATGCTGTATCAGACAGAAAATGTTAATACTGGGAGTTGGTTTCAAATGTGTTGAAAAGTTAAAAAGGCAGAGAAGGAATGATGAGGAAATCCTCAAATCAGTAAACTTAGGAAATCATAGCACCCTCAGCTCTGGAGTTAATGATGGGAGAAGGTAGAGTTCAATAAGGCTAGGTGTCAAGGCCATCCAGCAGGAGCAGAGCCAGCTAAACTACTGTTGGAAATGCTCATGAGTAGGAGAAACACTCTCAGTTGTCCCCTCTGCCATTACCTCCCTATACCTGAAACTACCTTCTAAGAGTCTAGAAATGGCAGATTGCAGGGGTCAGTCCCTAGGACATAGTTGAGAGCAGGGAAAGAGCAAAGAACAAATCAAGAATGGATAAATGACTTCCCCAAAGAACTGTCAATCATATTTTTATGGCTTACTCTTTTGTTTGTTTGTTTTTAAAATTAAATACTTAGAAGAAAAAAGGAATTTATTGGCAGGAAGTAAGCAATACAATGTAGTTTTCCAATACCCGTCTTATTTATAATAAGCAAATTTACTGAATACCAAATCATATGATGCCCTAATCAGAACAGGGCAATGTATTTATGCTAATAATAGGTAATATGCCAACTATATGAATTTGAGAATGTACTTGAACAAACAAGATTAACATAAAACTACATCATCAAAACCCAGGGTAAATAATTTTCAAATGTTTTCTAGAAAAACTTTCTTATTATGTCTACAAATTTAACATTAATATACACATTTTCCCCCCAGAATCAGCCTTTAAGAAACTATACAGTAAAATTCAGGTGGGATGGGGTAGTGGCAGTAGAGGGGATGAATTGTGAACTGTGAATATATTTTGAAGAATATAATATCAACATCACTAAGTAAGTGATTATGAAGATTAATGAAGAAATTGTTTGAAAACCTTATAAAATTATCATCAACCCTATAAAGCATAGGATCCAAGCTATGCTGGTGAGACAACAGTTATAGTAAATACTATTCATTTAAAAAATTTTCTGAGGGACTTGTAAAGAACAATCATGTAAGGGTTTGTTTTTGTTTTTTGATGGGGAGGAGAATGCAAATGCATTTTAATAAATTATTATTAATGTATTATAATTCAGAATTAATGAACTCTAAAACATGAAGTCAAGATATTCCAGAAGCTTTCTTTAGGTGTTTTGTAAAAATTCTAAAAAATAGTGCTAAAAGCAAGATCGATTTAAAAATAAATATTTTTAAGCAAGGTCTAGTAGGATCTCCAAAAATTATGGAGGGCAGCTGATGTGAAACTTGTGGAGCATTTGTGTTTCATAAGCAAGACCCTGGGCTTAATCCACCAACACGGCAAAAAATAAAACTAAAAATTATAAGGGAAAAATACACACACTACTAGACTAGCGTTTATGGAAAGGTTATAGGCATAGGCACAATAAACTGAAAAATATCCAGAGTGGGAAAATCTACCCAGAGACTTTTTACAGAGCAGAAAGTCATGCCTGGTGTAATAGTGGTAGAACTCAGCTCATTTTAGGTAGCTTTCTGATACAGGTGCCAGTTTAAAGCACAAAACTACAAGATGCCTCTTATGCTCAGGCTGAATTAAGTACCTTCCCTATAAGCATAACCTTTCTAACACATAGCCAAAAGAACAGATTTCAGAGTAATGCAATGCCTGCCACCAGTTCCAAAGCTATTGAAATAGGAACTAGTCTTTCTTTCCCTCCCCGTTCAAGGCTCTGCCACTGTCTGTACTATTACCTTCTCCCTCTCTGATGTGTGCTGTCTTTTTTTGTTATTAAAGTAGATTTTAACACATTGGTCAAGGATTTGCTCGTAGAACACCAGGGGCCATGGAAACTGCCACAAGAAGGGGATTACTATGTTCTGCTATTGTTATTTAGAAAATAATCTTAAAGCCAGGTGCAGTGGCACATGCCTGTAATCCCAGTGGCTCAGGAGGCTAAGGCAGGAGGATCATGAGTTCAAAGCCAGCATCAGCAATTTAGCAATGCACTTAACAACTCAGCGAGACCCTGTCTCTAAATAAAAATAAAAAGGTGTGGCTCAGTGGCTAAACACCCCTGGGTTCAATCCCCAGTACCAAAATCATCATCATCATCATTATTATCATCTTAAAAAAACACCCTCAGATGAGTCACATGCATGCTGAAGTACTGTTTTACAACACAAATGTACCAGCTCATACACATACATATACACGAGGACTATGGTTAATAAAATACAAAAAACCCTAGTTTTTCTTATTTAAGAAATTCAACTCATGTTTATGAAGATTATTCTGCTCTATCAGCAGAGTTCTTGGTCAAATTGCATTTTATATACATGGATAAATACAAAATATTTATGTAATACCTTATCTACCCATGAAGTAACCAAAATAACTGAGCAGTTCAAATGTATGCTATAAATAGGAATTTATAATTCCCTATGTCAAAAAAATTAATTTTCAGATTCATTTTATCCTACAAAAAATATGATTAGCAGCAAAGTTTGTATTTTAGAATAATTTCCATCATATATGCTCAATATAAACAAGTATATTTGTATACATGTATACATACAGATGTACACATGTACATGTACCTCCCAAAATACAAAATATATACACATGCGTACACCTTTTTATTCTATTAAGGAGCTAAATAACTATCAATAAAAGCTGGCTTTATGGTCTCCTTAAGATAAGTGATGTATTTTTATTTCCCTGAAGATACTACATGTTGGTACTTGGATCTCGGACTTCAGAGCCTCTAGAATTGTAGGGGGAAAAAAATTCTATTATCTATAAATTACCCAATCTTGGGTACTTTCTTACAGCCACATGAACACTCTAATATTGCTATTTCATAGGACCTGTTCATTTCCCTTATAAATGAAAATACTCAAAAAAATTAATCAGCCATTATTTTCTTTCATTAAAATCTGATGTCTGTGATGAAAAAAAAAAGAGAAGTTTGTTTCTTTTGAAATGGTTTTAATTTAGTAATAGAAAATACCTCAGAAGAAAAAAGTAAACAGGCAAACTTTTACTTCATGAGCATTTAAACCCTCATTTGTTCACTAATCCATAAGATGAAAAGCTTTGTCAAAAAGCATTCAGCCACCCCTGTAAAAGAAAGAAAAAATGGAATTTTTTTAGTATATATAAGATTTTAATTGTAAAATTATTTGAACTGCAACATACTATAATAATATGGAATCAAAAACCAGTTATTTGAGAGCTATAACTAACTTTGCCCCAAGTAAGCATAAAAGACACACTGAGATTTAAAATCTTAGAACTGCAAAGTCCCTAGTGATGATGTTTTTTTGAACAGGTGTATTTTAAAACTCACAATACTCATGTCTTCCTGAACATAACAACAAATATTAATTATAATACAGAATGGTTGATACAGTCAGCAAGACAGTTCAAAATAAAGACTGCAGACTACACTAGATGGTTCTCACCCACTACACCGTGCCACAATCATTCAAAAACCTCTTTTAATCATATGAAAATCAAAGTTATCTTTTCTGCAGAAGACTTCCTAAGCTTTAAAAGCATAGGGCTAGGGATGTTGCTCAGTGGCTGCACACTTGCCTAGCATGTGGATCCCTAGCTCCATGAAAAATAGCAACAACACAAAAAACAAACAATAAAATTGTAATGTTGGATATACAGTTAAAACTATGATACTAAATAAACAAAAATAATTCCACTACTAGATGAAAGCTTATGTTATTGAATTAGACTGATATAACTAACAGACCCAGCAAATGCACAACTCCTTTAAATTATAGTACTGTGGGCATTAATTTTGACGATAACTGTAAAATAAGGAGGAAAAAATTGTAAAGAAAAAAAAGACGTCACAATAATTCAATCTAGTCAAAGAGAAGCCTCTGGTTACATTTCCTTTGCCATCACTGAACTAAACAGTGATTTATGATTCCATGGCATAACATGAAAAGAATATATTTTTCTTATCTCACAAAACACTTTATTTGGTCTTCACTTTATGGTTAAAAAGTATCTAAAAATAGACTTAAACTCTTAACACTGAAATAATTTTTTAACTAGAAGAAAGTTTTTCTAAGCAACAAGCATCTCAAAGGTTTCATATGGTATTCCACCACTTATGAGCCATACAATTTAAGTTAGTCTCTCCATGTCTCAGTTCCTTCCTGAGGATTACACAAGAACAGTCTGTGGCACAGTGTAAGTTCTCTATATTATTAACACCATCACCACTGGAAAAAGATAAAGAACCTGAAGTTGATCACTTAATTAAACTAACAGTTATTCAGGGTTTTATGGATACAAGATAACATTAGACTATATTCTACTATATACATATATGTGTGTGTGTATTTATAAATATATTTATTTTTATGTAAATATATCACATATTTACGTAACATTAAATAACCAAACAGGTTTTACTCAGAACTCATAATCTTAATGTAACAGGCAGACATATCTAAGTATGACCTAAGGCAGACAGTGAAGTCTGGCAAAAGAGATAAAAACACACTGCTAAGTGTGGGTAGGGAAAAACGTAGTATTAAAAAAAAAAAAAGAAGGACTTGACAGGAGACTCTATTACACCTTTTTACTTGGGCAACTATAGCCCAGAAACAGTCTAGGGTTTGGGAATTCTAATTTGGTATTCCTTCCAAGGTTCCACAATTCCAGAGTTAACATTTCTCATTAGTAACATAAAAAGGATTTCTGAACTGACAGAGATTTGAGTGACTTGGTTCCTTACAGCTACAACTCTTCATGATCTTAAAATATCACTTTCTGAAACTTTTGCTTAATAACCATTATAATTTACTTAAGAAATCCACCTATATTTATAAGACAACCTCAACCAGTATCAGTGACAAAATACCTAGTATTTAAGAGATTTAGAGTTTAAAAAACTTGTCTAAATAATTGTTGCAAACTTTAAGACATCATAAAATAAAGAGAGTTACTATAACCCCCAAACTGCAGATGAGACTAAGAAAGTAATATGAACACAAGATCACAGAGTAAGTACTGAAACTCCTATCAAGACCTTCCACTAACTTAACTAAAACTGAAAATTAGATTCATCAGGTGTCCCAATTACAATATTTTTCTTGCAATGAATTTAAGAAGCAAAAGCCTTTGGAAAAGAACAAAGAGATCTCAGTATTTCTCAGTGTTCTCTCCTCCTCTTTATACCTAAAGGTTATAATACCCTTCTGTTAGTAATAGTAGTTAATTACAATAATAATTTCCATTTAAATCCTTAACTACATCATTTTCTCAAGGCCTTAAATGGCTTAAGTCATTAATCTTTACTAGAAAGCAAGTAAGAACTACTATCCTCATTAAATGAATTGGACACAGAAAAGCTAAGACACTGCACAAAGTTATGACCGCCTAGTAACAAAACTAACCATAAGAATGTAGACAATCTGGTTCAGAGTCAGAACTGTATCAAAATAATAATTTTCAAATAAAGTGGTTTTTTTTGCATCTTAAAAATCCACAAGACACAGTATAACAAGAAATTGTACTTGAATATTGGTTCTGTCACTGAATACTTTATGACATATTGAATCCCTTTAAGTAATTTCCATGACCCTAAAAAATTTTAGTTATCAAAGAAAACTCAGCCTTGATCACAAAATTGATATTAAAACTGTATATAATATAAATAATAAATATCAGTAGATACTTACAACATTAAGAAGTCAAGAGATAGCTCTGAGTATTAATAAAATAGACTTAATTTTCAACTCAAATAGTTTCAATTTTCATTCATTCTTAAATATAGTCTGTTCTACAAAATTTACTTACACAATGATGTTATTAATAGGGATATGGATCAATTTCACAAAGAAACCAATGAATCCCATTATAGCAAATCCTATTGCTGTTGCCATGGCAATCTTCTGGAATTCTGCATTTCAAAACATAAAATTCACATTAACTTTTTGCACTGTCATTGAAAGTATGGGGGTAAAACTATCAGTAATATAAATAAACTTTTATTAATTCTAATTATATACCTATTAGGAACTTATCCTGTCCAATATATACCTACTAATAGTAAATACTTGGACAAGTTTTAAATTTTCATACTTTGTTGATATTTAAGGAAACGAATTGAAAGTGTAGGTCTCTCATAGTGAATTCATCAATAAGCACTGAAAATATCTGCTTTTCTCAGCAAATGACCTAAATAAGTAAGAAAAAAAAAAAAAGGATGGAAGACAGAACACATGGTATTTTTCTTAATGTTTCAATGCAACAATTTTTACTCTAATTATAAAATCAGAATTTCGGTATATATTCGATATATTTGAAACAACGATATATTTCTGGTATATCATAATGAATCCAACATTAAAGCTCTAAAAAAATCAAATTACATTGAGCACAATTTTATAAAAAGACTTCAATTCTGGTATGTCTGAGTTTCATGTTATTTCCTCAGGAAATTTTTACCTGACCTCCTGACTTGGTCAGTCCTTACATTATATGAACCAGACTTCCTAGTATCTTCCCTATTTCCTACCCTAGCAGTAATTTAAAAACACAATTGGAGTGACTTGTTTATGACAGTCTTCCCTGATAGATTCTTAGCTTCATGAGAACAAGGACTGTTCCCTATCGTATTTATTTATATATTGTATTACACATAATATTAAATTATATTTTGTATTATATCCCGAGTTCCTAACTCAATGAATAAAAGTATATTACTTTTGCTGTACCTTTTAACACATGAATCATGACACAAGACAAAATATACTTTCTAGGTTGGCAACAACCTATCTTATTGGTTTCATGTTAAAAGTTTTGTTCACTGGGTGGGGAAAGAGCAGAGAAGGCTCTAGAGATTTTTCCAGAGAAGTAATATAAAAGATATAAAAATTCTAAGAATTATAAAATGACTAACTTAAGTGTAACATGCAAAGTAAAGCTGTAATAACTAAACTTAGATCATTTAAAATACATAAACAAATATATAAAGCAGTGCTGCATGCCTGTAATCCCAGATTTTGGGAAGCTGATGCAGGAGCAGAGCAGAGCAGCTTTGGCAACTTAGTGAAACATCCTATTCCAAATTAAAAAACAAAGGGCTGAGGAGGTAGTTCAGTGGTAGACTGCTTCTGGGTTCCATGCCCAGTACACCAAGAGGGTGGGCAGGGAAGGGAGGAAGACCAAAAAAAAAAGCAAACAAAAAGAAAAACACAGAACAAAAAAAAATTAGAAGACTGTATACAATTTAAGAAGTGATAATGTTTTGAAGCAATAAAACAAAATACATCATATATTGACAAAAGGAATGCAATGGTTGCTAATCTGGAATATGTTATATTCAATGCTTAGAAAAAAATGCAAAGATTTTTAACTTTTTCTCTCATGTTAAAGGTATTACCTTTTCTATCAGGTTTGGTGCATCTTTTAACAAGACGAATTGAGTCCTTCACAAACTGCCGACTTGGCTCAACAAATTGCATTACCTGATCCATGATTGCCTGTTTAAGCAAACAAACAAAAGTTGCTCAGGAATATTATTTATCACATAACAAAGACTTGCTAAGTTACATAAAGATGTAAATGAGACCAGCCATGAATTCATGCCTGACATTCTATTCCATCTCATAAAACAAAACTAAACAAAAAAAGCAGACTCCAAGGTCTAAATTTATGGGTTTTTTGTAAATTCCAGGAAAGCATCAGAGCAAATGATGTTATCCTTATTGACAAAGAATCATACTTAATATAAAGGGGCTTTCTCTATTAAAAGGTTACACAATTGACAGCACATCCTATTCCTTACCCACTTTTCATTCAATGTTTCTGCTAAGAAGCAAACTATCTAACAAGTACTTTCTGTATTTTATTTTAAACTACTCAGAAATTAAGAGCCTTAAATGAAAGAAAACGTAAATTTCAACTTTATTGTTATAAACCATGCTTACACACTATACAGAGTGTACTGTGTGGAATGGACAGACAGGTAAAATTTTCAAACCCACAAAGATTAGCAAAAGTAGGATCCAGATTCTGTAAGACTAATAAACTCCAAACCTTTAGCTATGCACACAGCTTTTAAGGAAACAGGGTTATGTACTTCATCATAAAGATTCTTTTGAGAGCTTATTAAGCTAATAGAAATGTCATTCAAAGACATTGGTAAAAGAGCTAATAAGGGCAGGGTATTTAACTCTATTTCTAGTGCTTAAAACAGTAGTCAGATAGTGATTCAAATCCTTGGCCTCTATAAGCCCCAGTTTCCTCGCCTAGGGTAGTTAAACACGAGTTATTAGAAATTCTGAAAATGTTCTGGAACAAAAAACACAATAACGGTTATTTTCTCAGTATTTCACTTAATTTTGCCGAAATCCTATGGTTTTAAACTTTATGTAATCAAAGCCATCGTGATAAATGCTTAGCACACTTCCCCCCCCCCGCCAAATTTAAAAAAAAAAAAACCTCACTTCAAAGAACATAGCATTTAAAAGTCTGAGGAGGTCTGAGGAGATTCAAGAACCCACAACTATCTCCTCATTTAAAAACTAGATCAACTCTACTACAATACACCACGAGGAGTGGTGGCAGGGCTAGACCTATATACAGAAATTTTATAAGGCAGGATTACACACACACACAGTGCCAACCATGCAGGCGACAGGCCTTCATCTCTGACCACAACACACTGGAAGCCCCCCAGATTTTAAGAGTTCTCAAGAGTTCGCTCTGAGAGACGGCAAAGAATGAGGAACTACAAAGCTGAGCCATGGACCAGGACTCAGCCCTGGGTAGACGCGTCTCTGGGTCTAGGTTTACACTGGAAGTGGTGCCGGAAGGTAAATTGGGACCGGATCCAGACTCAGACCTCAACCGGTGGATCCTCTCATCGCCCACCAGTGCCTCCGTAGGAACCAGAAGCCCGCCTACGCCAGCCACAAAAGTCTGGTGTCCCGACATGCCCGGTTCCCCCTTACCCTTCGGGTTAGCCCCTTCCTACAGGTAAGAAGATCCTCACGTGCCCAGCAGCTCGGTTGCCACTTCAGATGCTAAAGACACGTAGCACAGCGCCGACTCACAGAGGTCCACCGGAACCGGAAATCAAGTATCGGCCTACAACCCGCCCACCCATCTGTCCTATTGGTTCTTTACGCTGAGCCGTCAGTGCGCAGGCGCATCACGACTTGCGTTTTAGTCTCGCCTCCCGGAAGAGATTCTGTGAAGAACTGAGGGAGGGAACGTGGTCCTTGGTGGACCTTGCCTTTCTTCCACACTTTGTGGGCTTCCTGAGAGTTCTTGCTCCGCTAAGTGCCTGGTACATTCTCCTGCACCCCATCAGCGTGATTAAGCTATTTGAGTTCACAGCAAAAGCCCCCTGTGGCGTGGCGCGGTGCCTCCTCTCTAGTAGCCGCTAACTAGGTAAATCCAAGATAGATTCCCGTTTGATAGGATAATGAACGTCTTTTCAAAGTTCTTGTTTCCTGCTTGGATGTGTGCCTCCTTATTGTATAAGAAAAAAGAAAAAGAAGGTTTATTGCTTTGCTACCAAAGGAGAAACACTGGGGACTCCCGTAAAAAAGGCTGTGACTCTCTTGATGGGGGCAGGGGAGTGTTTAAAGGAACTCTTCAAGGGTCACATTCCAATTGTGCTTTGGTAGGGAGGGGTTCCGGGTGCACTGATGGTGTATTAGGATTCACTTGTTAATTCACTTTTCAGATCCTTAGCAGTCATCTCTTTCCTGTAGTGGGTGTTTTAGGGGAAGAAAAGAACACTGTCTCCCTAATCTTGTTAGGGAGGGGTAGAGGAGGGAAGGGAGGAAAACAAAAAACCTCTTTAAAAAAAAAGACAGAATCATACTATCACGTATTTGAAAAGCCTACAAAAAATTGATGCACTGTATATACATATACACGTATATGACATGATTGCTGAGTAACTAAAATTATCACATTGGACAATTAATAAGTCTTGATATTTGGATGACTTGTGTTTATATACCCACAATGTGTGATTTATAGTTTCTCCTTGAATTCAGAGCCAAAGCCTTTGATTTTGAAAGTGGCAAATGTAATCCAATCAAAACACAGCCTTTGGCTATAGAGGTAGTAAATGGAACTATTATTGAAACATTCTCATTTCTCATGAAGTGGTGTAGTTTTAAGGCTATGATATGCCACCCATCCTTTCCCCATCAGAATAAATTAAATACTGCAAAGAAACAGCAGAAAAGCTAGTAATATGTTAGTATGAAAAGAAATACACAACCAGAATAAAGGCAGGAAATGAGAAAGAGTAGTCAGAAATGGGAAAACTAAATAAAACCACCATGTCAAAGTGTAGTCATTGGGTAAATAAACTAACATACCTGGACAGTGGAATATTATTCAGTACTAAAATGTTAGTTATCAAACCATAAAAAGACATAGAAAAAGGTTTATTACAAAGTGAAATAAACCAATATGAAAAGATGCTGTACTATGTGATTACAATTATATGACATTCTAGAAAAGGCCAAACTAAATCAGTAAAAACATCAGCTGTTTTCAAACTTGGGTCAGAAGGGATAAATAGAACACAGGAATTAAGAGTGAATATAGTCTGCTGATACTACAGTGGTGGCTACTGCACAGGTTCTCAGGTCTGTTGAGAGGTTTTGCACATACTCAGATGACAGAATGAGTGGTAAAACGAGCATTTACACAACATGTCAGGTGAAACAAACCTATCACTTGTATAGGATGGGAGAACTTTCAGAAGCTTAGAATCTATGAGTAGGCCATCAAAAGCTTTGGAAGGCTGCCTAGAGCAGATGGATTGTTATCTTCACATGCCCCACTTTGCACCACAGCAAAGGAACCCAGAAATTACTCTTGAGTTTTCTGCATCAGGCACTCTGAGCTCACTGGGCTCAAGTGTAGGACATCCTATACTAGGCAAGATGAAAATAGTCCAAGTTAGATTTATATAACCTCTTTATATAATCCTCTTAACTCAGGATGTTATATACTGCCTGAGAATTGTAACCCATAGGAGGAAGAGCTGCATACACCAAGGCCATTCAGAATCTTGTCCTCCTTTAGACACTTATCATCATATATTTTCCCAAATCTGTAGGACATACAATAATAAGAGTGTGCCCTAATGTAAACTGTGAACGTTGGGTGATTATTATGTATCATAGAGTCATGAGTTGTCATAAATATATCACTCGTGGGAGCTGTTGAAAATGGGATAGGATATATATGTGTCAAGAGTAGGGAGTATCTGGGATTCTCTGTACCTTCCTCTCAATTTTGCTATGATCCTAAAACTTATTTTAAAATAGGTCTTAAAAAGTTCAAATCATATTATTTTCTCTATTGTTAGGTTAAATTAAAATCTATAAAAACCAGATAAGAAGAAAATTGCCAAGTTTTGGGGAATATATTAAACAGAATATTTAAAAATAATCCATGGGTCAAGAGAAATAACAGGAAATTAGAAAATCATTTGGATGGAATAGTCATGATATGATAGCATATCATACAGCCAGATTTCACTACACTCTCATAAGAGTGTTTAAAAAGGCTGACAGTAGCAAATCTGAACAAAAATTTAGGTAGATCAGAACCCTCATAAATGAGTGTAGGAGTATAAAATGGCATAATTCTTTTGTAAAAGATCTAGCAGCTTGTTATAAATAATAAGTATGCACCCCCACAATTCCAATTCTATAATAGTTAATAAAGATGTATGAAAATCACAAAAAGACATGCACAGGAATATTTATTTATTGCTTTAGTCATAAGAGAAAAAAAAACCCACCCTTAAAAACTAAAAGCAACAGGGGTTCACCACTGGTGGAATAGATAAAATATACAGTTATAATCTCTCATTGGAATTCTACTCCATAATTGAGATGGGGGGGAAGCTATTTGAAGGAACATTGATAAATATTTTTTAAAATGGGAAATGAATGAATCATACATAACTTTCCTATGTTTATATATGAATATACGGCCCATTTAACTCCACCTCATGTACAACCACAAGAATAGAAAGTTATAATCCTTGCATGAATAATATGTCAAAATGTACTCTAATGTCATGTATATATAAAAAGAACAAATAAATGGAAAATGAAAGAAGCCTATGCAAAAGCATACATACTATACAATTCCATTTATAGGAAATTCTAGACATGGCAAAATTAATGTAGGTAGAAAATGTAACAGCATTTGCCTCTGAGGATATGGATTAAGAAGGGGGATAAGAGGCCTGGAGGTGAATGTAATGCTCTGAAATGGAAACAGGTTATTAAATTGAGGTGGCTTAATAAAACAAACATTCATTTCTCACAGTTTTGAAGACTGGAAGTTGGAAATCATGGTAGCAACATGGCTGGATTCTTGGAAGAGACCCCTTTCCTGATTTATAGATGGCCATCTTCTCATTGTATCCTCATATGTTGGATAGGAGATTATAAGAACACAAAGCCTTTTCATGGAGGCTCCACTGTCCTAACCTAATGACTTCTCAAAGACCTCATCTGCAAATTCCATCACAGTAAGGCTTCAACATATGAATCTGGGGGAGAACAAAAATATCCGTTCATAGCAAAAGTACTCCTAAGGTCTACGCATTCTACCTCAAGAAATAAAACACTATAAGCAAACAATGAACTCTAATTCAATTATACAACTGCTGATATATTTAGGAGTGAAGTGTCCAGGTATCTACAACTTAACTTTATTTTAAAACCAAAAAAGTAGATTCCTCATTGGGTAGAAGATGTGTGGGCCTATGTGTGATAAAGCAAATAGGGCAAAATGTTAAATTCAGATTCTTAGTTGTGAGTTTATAGATATTTGCTGAATATTTTAAATTTTTCTTTGAAAAAAATTATAATGAGTTGGAAAAAAGTACACACACAGATTTTAAATGAATTTTTAAAATTTTTGTTTTTACATAAATGAGAATTGTAAATTAATTGTATACATGACAAAAATTAAAATTGTTCCTCAGTTAAAATATCAGAAACTGAATTAATGTTGTACTTAGATTCTTGACCTCTACCTAAAGAAAGAAAAAGTTTAAAACAATTTTTGAGGAATCAATGTCTCCATTGCTCCTGCCTTTTTGTTGTGTATTACTTCATTGGTATCAAAACAAAATGGAAAGAGCTCTTTTTTTAGAAGAGAAGGTGATGTGCAGACATTATATATGATAGACCTGCAGTTAGAGGAATATAAAATTTAGAAGTGTTAACAGTTCCCCAGGAAAAATCAAGACTGTACATAGGAACAAAGAGTCTTTCAAACAGACTATTTTAGAGTTAAATAAGATTGGATTAAATATAGTTTTCTTTCCCCACAAACCTGTTTTGAAAACATGACATTTCAAGTACTGTGAAAAATTTATTCTCTTTATTTTGCCAAAAACACAAATTAAAATAGGGTAGTGAGGATAATCTGATATATACAGATAGCATAGAATTAGTTACCTTTAGCCCTATATTGGCAATCCTAGTAAACAGTTTTATTCGACTACTTCCTCTTGAAACTCTTTGCTCCTGTCATAACTTTAAGAAAAGATCTTTTCTGACTACTTCCTAGTTTCTGTAATGAACTTCTTTACCTGCATGTTTTTTGTAGGTTAGCTGACTGCTGCAACACAACTTGGTTTAGTAGTGTTTCTTTCTTTCCATGACCGTGGTCTAAAGTGGATTTGAAATAGGAATGTGATGTTTGGCACAATCATTCAGTGTTTGAGGCATCTTCCATTGTGCAGTGCTGCTATTTTTTTTCTTTTAAAAATCTTTATTAAAAATATAATCCATATATCATTCAATTTACCCTCTTAAAAGGTACAATCAGTAGTTTGTATTATGCAACAAAGTTGTATAACCATTATTGCAAAAACCTTTAAGCATGTGTATAACATAAAAAAGAAACTCCATGACTATGGGTAATCATTTCCCATTTCCCCCCCACCCACCCACCTGTTCTCTCTACCACTACTCCACAGCCCCTAGCTATCACTTCTCATTTACAAATATTTAGCTATATAGGTGCATTTTTTTATTTTCTTCCTTCCTAATTATGTGTCCTTTGATGAAACGTTTTCCTTTTTTCCCCTCCCCTCTAAGCATCCATTCCTTAGTACATACTCTTCTACTCTCTACTTTTTTGAGATCACATTTATTAGATTCAACATGTGGGTGGTACTTGTCCTTCTGTACCTGGCTTATTTTACTTATTTTACTTAATGTTATAGGATTTCATCAAGGTGTCACAAATAACAGTTTTTCCTTCCATTGTTTATACATACCACATTTTCTTGATCCATTCATCAGTTCTAGACACTTAAGTTGATTCTCTATCTTGGTTATTGTAAATGGTGCTGTAATATACATGGAAATGCTGATATTTCTTTGATATATTAATTTCATTTTATTTGGATATATAATCTCCAGAAGTGGGATTGCTGGGCTATACAGTACTTCTATTTTTAATGCTTTGAGGAACTTCTATACTGTTTTCCATACTGAACATTTTACTTCACATTCCCACCAATAGTGTTTAATGGTTTCCTTTTCTTTACATCCTCACCAACACTTGTTATCTTTTTTCTTTTTGATAATAAATATTCTAACAGGTATTAGGTGATATCTTTTTGTGAAATTGATTTGCATTTCCTTGATATTTAGTGGTTAGTTAAGACTTTTGTTATTGTTTTGTTCATTTTTTTAATGTACCTGTTATTTGTATTTTTTCTTTTGAGAAGTTCTATTTATGTCTTTTGCCCATTTCAAATAGAATTATTTGTTTTCTTTGTGTTGAGTTGTTTGAGTTCCTTATGAGTTTTAACTATTAACCCTTTATCAGATATGTAGTTTTAAGTGTTTTCTCCCATACTTTAGGTCAATTCTTCACTTTGTTGATTGTTTCCTTTTAGTTTGATATAATCTCATTTATTTTGTTGCCTTTGCTTTTGAGGCCTTATCAAAAAAAAATCAATGGTCAGATCAATGTTATAAAATAGTTCTCCTATGCTTTCTAGTGTTTGGGTGTCTTACACTTAAGTCTTTAATTCGTTTTGAGTTGATTTTTCTAAATGGTGAGAAATAAGGGTCTAATTTAATTATTTTCCATGTGAATGTCCAGTTTTCTTATCACCAACTTGCTGCCTCAGAAAGCTTCTAGAAGCCACCATTTTACTCTCAACTTCATTGAGACCAGCTCTTTTTGGATTCCACACATGGAAGGGATTATACAGTATTTATCCTTCTATGCCTGGCTTATTTCACTTACCATAATGTCCTTCAGGTTCTTCAGTATTGTCAAAAATAACAAGGTTCCATTATTTTGTATGGCTGAATATTATTCCATTATATATACATGCACATTTCTTAATCCATTTATCTGTTGATATACACTTAGAATGACTCCTATCTTAGCTATTGTGAATAGGACTCTATAAACATGAAGAATGAAGACTTCTCTTCAGCCTACTGATTTCATTTCCTTTGAGTATAAGCCCAGTAGTGGGATTGTTGAATCATCTCTTAGTTCTATTTTTAATTTTCTGAGGAACCTCCATACTAGTATCCATATGACTAAAACAGTTTGATCTTAAAATGTGCAAAAAACCTGCATAGAAAATGAAAATATAAGCCATAGACTAGGATAAACTAGGATAAAATATTTAAAAATCAGATCTACAATGGGCTGCCGTCCATAATACACAAAGAACTCTTTATACTCAGCAATTAGAAAGCAAAACACAATTAAAAATATGCAAAATCTCTGAACATCTCACAAAAGAATGTATATGGATGGGAAATAAACATATTGAACAGATAGTCAACATCACAGGGTATTGATGAATTTGCAAATTAAAACAAAAAAGGTGCCACTACAGACCTATTAGAGTAACTGAAAATCCAAAACACAGACAATTTCTGAGAAGGTCGTGGGTCAACAGAAACTTCTATGTATTACTAATAAGAATGCAAAGTGCAGCAATTTTGGAAGACAGCTTAACATTTTCTTAACAAAGCTATATGTAGTCCATCATACTCTCCAGCAATTGTACTCCTTAGTTATTTAAATGACAGGAAAATTTATGCTCACACAAAAATTTATAAATGTTTGTAGTAGCTTTATTCCTAATTGCCAGGATGTGAAGGCAAACAAGATGTCCTTAAATAAATGAATGAATAAACTGTATACATCCAGACAATAGAATATTATTCCATGCCAAAAAGAAATGAGCTATCAAGCCATGAAAAAACATGGAAGAATATCAAATTCATATTGGTAAGTGAAATAAGCCAGTCTGAAAAACTACATACTGTATATTTCCAACTAGGTGGCCTTCTAGAAAAGACTAAACTTTAGAGTGAAAAGATCAGTGATTGGTTTTCAGGGACCTGAGTGGAAATGAGGGAAGGAGCAAGAGCAGAAGTACAGTAGATTTTAGTGCAGTTGAAATCAATTCTATATGATACTATACTATAATTAATATATGACACTATATATATATTTTTTAATTTGCAGAACTGTACAAAGAGTGAACCCAAATGTAAACTATGGTCTATAATTAATAATAAATATATCAGTATTAATGTATTTACTATAACAAATATAAAAGCAATACAAAATAGTAATAACAGCAGAAACTGCAGAGGGGATATGTAAAGAATTATAATAGCACTTTATACTTTCTATTCACTTTTTATAGACCCAAAACTACTCTAACAAGTCTAGTACAAAGTTAAAATAAAAATTAAGATCCATAGGAGATGGAGAGAAACTAGTCACTTACTGTTTATGCTCTCTCCAAAACAACATTAAGCAACATTGAGATGTGTACTTTTCACCTATACAACTTGTTCAAATAATTTTTATCAAGATTCTGAGAAGTTCAATACTTGTCCAAGACAAAGGAGTTGAAAAATATGATTTTGACCGTGAACTTAGTCCTAATAAGTTGATGTATTTAAATAGGTGAAGGGATTCTGACCTATTTATTATATTCCTCAGGGCTTCAATAATGAAATATGATACTATCCACTCACATAAAGTTATGGAGAAGAACATTATGAGCTCAACTATGTCCCCTCAGAATTTCTATGCTGAAATCCTAGCCCTGGTATCTCAGAATGTGACTATTTTGAGAGATAGTATCGGTAAAGTGCTAATTAAGTTAAAATGAGGTCATTAAGATAGGCCCTAATGCAGTATGACTGGTGCTTTGTTTAATTAATTAATTTATTTTGGTACTGGAGATTGATTGCAGGGGTGCTCTACCACTGAGCTACATCCCCAGTACTATTTTTAATTTGTTCTAATTTGTTATACATGACAGCAGATGTATTTAAATTCATTGTACACAAATGGAGCACAGCTTTTCATTTCTCTGGTTGTAGACAATGTAAAGTCACACCATTCGTGCAGTCATACATGTACCTAGGGTAAAGATGTCCATCTCATTCCACCATCTTTCCTATCCCCATGTCTGCTCTTCTTCCTTCTCTCCCCTTTGGCCAAGTTCTTCATTGTTCCCATGTCCCCCTCCCATTATGGATCAGCATCCACTTATAAGAGAAAACATTTGGCCTCTGGCTTTTTGGGGGATTGACTTACTTCACTTAGCATGATATTCTCCAATTTCATCCATTTACCAGCAAATGCCATAATTTTATTCTCTTTTAATGCTGAGTAATATCCCATTGAATATATACACCACAATTTCTTTATCCATTCATCTATTGAAGGACATCTGTGTTGGTTCCACAGTTTAACTATTGTCGATTGAGCTGCTATAAACATTGATGTGGCTGTATCACTATAGTATGCTGATTTAAAATTTCTAGGGTATAGATCAAGGACTGGGATAGCTGGGTCAAATGGTGGTTTGATTTCAAGTTTTCTAAGGAATCCCCATACTGTTTTTCCAGAGTGGTTGCACCAATTTGCAGTCTCACCAGCAATATAAGTATACCTATTCTCCCACATCCTTGTCAATACTTATTGTTGCTTGTATTTTTGAAAACTACTATTCTGACTGGAGTGAGATGAAATCTTAGTGTAGTTTTGAGATTGGCATTTCTCTAATTGAGATATTAAATTTTTTTCCATATATTTGTTGGTTGATTGAACATCTTCTTCTGAAAAGTATCTGTTCAGTTCCTTAGCCCGTTTATTGATTGGATTATTTGATTTTTGGTGTTGCCCAGGCTAAACGTGCCATCCTCTTGCCTCAGCTTCCTAAGTACCTGGGATTACAAGGCAAATGCCACCATACTCAGTTTATGTCATTTTTAAAAAGAAAAATTGAATAAAGATATGTATAGAGATGGGATGATAGGATTCAGGGAGATGATGACTACCTACTATCAAGGAGAGAGGCTTCAGAAGAAATGAACCTTGCTGACATCTTGATCTCAGATTCCTAGCCCACAGAATTATGTAAAAATTAACTGTTGTTGTTGAAGCTACCTGTTTTTTGGTACTCTGTTATGGCATCCCATGTAAGTTCATACAGAGAGTAAAGTTTGTTAGTTTCCTAAAATAAATATTAAAAATTCAAACAAGTATTATTTTTGTTCACACAGAATAATTTCAAAGGAAATGAATCATGAAATGTTTTCCACTGTTGCATGTAGAATTAACTTTATAGAGGAGACCTCTGTGAAAACTCACATTAGGAAAATGGATTATAGTTTTTAAACTTAATTTTAAAGATAGTTTTTGGTCAGTTAGATTTTATTGTTGAGTACTTTCTTTATTCTTTTTGTTTTCTTTTTTTTGATACCAGGGACTGAACCCAGAGGCACTTAACTACTAAGCCACATCCCCATCCATTTTTTGTATTTTATTTAGAGACAGGTTCTCACTGAGTTACTTAGTACCTCACTAAATTGCTGAGGCTAGCTTTGAAGTCTTGATCCTCCTGCCTCAGCCTCTCCAGTTGCTGGGATTACAGGCTTGTACCACCACACCTGGCTTTCTTTTCTTTTTCAAAGGGGTTTGGGAGCATGATATTTCTTGAGTACATGTATGTTTGAGTGCAACTGGCTTTATACTTTAGTGACTTAGGTGCATTAAAAGTGGGTATCTTTTGACTTTGTTGAAATGTAATTGTTCAATTACTTTCCAGCACTAATTGTTTCTAAGGGGAAATCTGTTGTTAACTCAAAAAGTTTTCCATCTTTTGTTTTCTATATGTGATTAAAGAATTCTTTTTTACTCCTGAAATTCAGTGACAGGCTCTACCTCATTGGAAAGTGATATTCTGTATAATTCTTTCCCCTATACTATTTGATTTTTACTTTGGTTCATGGAAAATGTTTATTCTTACATGTTGTAATGTTTTCTGTTTGACCTGTTAGGATATCTTTTTAAAGGAGATTGAACTTTTATTAACTTTTCTTTACTCTTGATAGTATTTTTCTTGACTGTGTTACTTTATTCCTTCTGTACTATGGTTAACCAAGCTTATTTATACTTTAAAAAAACATTTTTAAATTGTAGTTGGGCACAATACCTTTATTATTTATTTATTTATTTATTTATATGTGGTGCTGGGGATTGAATCTAGGGCCTCTCACATGCTAGGCGAGTGTTCTACCACTAAGCCACAATCCCAGCCCCATTATTTATACTTTTTAATTCAGGTTTTAACTGTTCTGTGTCCTGTTTTTGATTCATTCTTTGATGTTGGTATTTTGGCTCTCAAGTTTTTCTTTAGTGTATAACTTACCTTTTTTATTTCATTCTATGTTTTAAATTAGTTTATTAGTTTATTGATTATAAATAATGTTATGTGGTTAATGTCCTTATTATCTTTTTTTGTCCCAGATATTATTTATAGAGAGCTTCTTTCTATTTGAATTTTCTACTGTACTAGGTTATCTGTCTATTTTAATCTCTATGTATATATGTTTCAGTACTATGCTTATATAATTTTAAATATCTTTTAAAATTTTATTATAAAAACTTAAAATTAAAAAATGAAGAGAAAATAGTTATGTGATTTTTAAAAAATCTTGTATATGCCAAACACAGGCAGCTCTGTTTGACTTTTCCTTTGCTATCTATAGTGTAAGTGAATTCACTTTTGTATCCTTTGTGTTTTTTTAAGAGTCCTGTTTTGGAATCTATGTATTGCTTTTTTATCCCCTTCTCTGTCATCTGAGAATAATGGAAAGTGACATAGGCCTATCTCTAACAATGTTTCTTTGACTTAAGGATGCATATTGTATTTTCTGCTCTGAAATATGACCCAGTGTCTTGTCCTGAGATTCATTTGGTCCAGAGTGCACACAGTTAATGTGGAAGAAAACACAAACTATTCTTTCAGTTCCAAATGTGCTGATATCTCTCCTACCTCTGTTCTTGGATCAGTGTCATGCTGTAGCAGTTTTTACTCTTGAAAATTTATTTTCTACTTGGCTCCTCAGTCTACTTTTTTTCCAAAGTAAGAAATATTTATGGAAATTTTCAATATTTTATCACTCGTTCTGGTGATTAGGATTAAGTTTGGGGAGCTATGCCAGAATTTTCCTTTTATGTTGTTTTCCCTTTCTTTTTGGTGAAGTTTATGGCATGAAGTTGTATGCTTTTTCTTATTTGGTTTCCCCCTTGGCTTTTTGGTGCTGTTAATTATTGTTTATTACAAAATGTTGGAGCAGGTAAATTCTGGGTTTCACTTTTATTTCACAATGATTTTATTTTAACAAGAAGATGGGATATTAAAATATCAGGCTCTAATATTTTGTAATCCTTTTGCCCAGAAATTCTTTTACCATGGAAAATATAGTCATCTAATTTATTACAAGAAGGAATTTGATATGTCCTGTTTATATCTTCTCACAGTGTCCTGATCTGCTGTTAGCACCTACCATTCCTGAGAAGATCAGTGTTCTAGCCAAGGGATATTACACCAATTAACATGTGATAATGCTAAGAACAGTGGAAAGAACAAAAAAGAAGCAAAAATTATCAAGCCAGAAAGATTGTTTATAGAATAAAGAGTTTAATTGTCTTTTTTGCAGACAATTAGAAGAAAATGAGGAAAATACAGAGGTTTTTGAACCAAGCTTCCTAACTCTCAGGTCAGAGTATTTTTCTATTTTTATCTGTTTCTCTACCACTTCTACTGCCCTCCCTGTATGGTTAGTTTATAGCTGTTTTTAGAGAAATTTAACACCTATCTCTCAGTTTAGTTTATTCCATTCTAATTATTTAGTACCAAGGAAGAACTACTTTAGTACCCAGTTACTTCAGTTATAATTGGTATTAAACAATGGATTTTAACTTCTTATTGTTCATAATGTATTCAACCTAAGTTTAATAGTGTGATTTGAAGCCCTGTCAAAAACACTGGTATATCCTAGATGAAGGAATATCATTGGTTTGTTCAAGTGTACAGTGATGTTAGCTGCTGGCTATGATGGAAGAGCATAACAAGACTTATTAAATGACAACTGAATAAAATGTAAGAAATAACTATTTTGAGACACTAGGGAACAAGAAGTACAAAACTTCCATAGTCAGAGTGCAAAAAAATAGAATCTTAAAATTATCCCTTTCCAAAGACCCTTTTCAAACCAAAGTCATAAGATAGGGAGGTGAATCTGATGCAGAAAACATGAATTATTAGATATCCAGAAGCCTGAGATGGCTGGAATTTCTAGGGTACACTCGCATAGAGTTAGGAGCTGGATGTAGAAAGACCTCTGGAAATTTGTAAAGAGTTCCATTTGAGTCTGTTGATGAAAACCAATATGTATTTATGTATGATGCCACTCCACAAGGTTGAGCTAACAATGACCAGGAGTTATGATTCCCAGAGAACCCAAGGTCTGGGAGATATTTAAGTTCTGACGAACCAAATGGAGAGGCATTGTTGACTCTATGGAACATTTAGTAGAAACCTTAGAAGGCTGGCATCTCAATAATAAAACTAAATTTACCATATATACTTATACAAAAGAAGGAAAGAAGGAACAAATCTAGGCTAAACATTCAAAATTGATTAGTAACTATTTAAAAAGAAAAATGCGACATAACAAGAAGAAAAATCAGTCATTAGAAACAGATGTAGAAATAGCAGAGATGAGGGAATTGTCAGTAAATGACTATAAAATTAATTAATTTATTTAAAAATTTTAATTAATCAATTTTAATAAATTTATTTAAAAATTATTTTAAAATAAGCCCTATGATTTTAAAGAAAAATAAACATAATGAACAGATCAATAGAAAATATCTTAGCAAAAAACAAATAGTACTTTAAGAGCTGAAAAATACAATATCTAAAAGGGAAAATCCTCACTAGAGGTATCCTACCCAAGTAAAATGTCAGATGAAAAGATCAATAAATTTGAACACAACAATAAAAATTACCATAATTCAAGCATAGAAAGAAAAGATTGAGAATGAACCAAACATAATGACCTGCAGACCAAAGCATGCTGGTAAATTTTTAAAACTGACTCTGGTGGGGAGAAAGATCTTTGATTTGTAGCCCTGTTTTTCACAATATAAATATTTCCACTGAAGATGATTTCAAGATAGGACGATGATATCAGTAAACACAAAATTTTCCAAATTTGATGAAAACTGACAGATCCAATAAGTTAAAAAAATATATTCAAACAGAATAAAGAGTAAAAAAAATGAAAAAAACAAGGCCAAGGCTAACAGTTGAATTTCTGAATACCACTGAGTAAATGATTATTATCTTAAAATACTCAATTAAAAAATAAACATACACACATACATATACGGATAAAATGTTATGACCAAAAGCATACATGTCATATGAAACAAAAAGGGCAGAATCACCTCTTTTAAGCTGCTAGTGAGGGTAGAGGTTAAGTGGTGGAAATATGAACCTAGAATTCTATATTCATTGGGAAATTTCTATGTTAGAAATATGGAAAATAAGATACTAACTTAAAAGGAGGAAGAAGAAAAAAGTAAAAAGTGTTGAAATTAATATAGTCGGGATGAGCAAATCAACAGCTTACAGGGAAAAAACTGGCTTGACACCTGTTTTATAAAATAGTTTTGTTTGAACATAGTTCCACTCACTCATTTACTTATTGTCTAGTACTGCCAATTCAAATTGAATGGCCCACAAACTTAAAATATTTATTCTTTAATCCTTCAGAGAAAAAGTGCTGTCCCTTGGAACAGACAATAGTTAAATCAATGAAACTAAAAGGAAGATTCTTTGAGAAATTAAGTATTGGTAAATCTGTTGCTAAATTGATAAGATAAAAGAGAAAATATAAATCTCCATTATTAGGAATGGAAGAGAAAACAATGCTCCAAATTCTATAGACATCAAATAGGTACTAATAGAATAGTACAAACAAATCTAGTCTATTTGATAATTTTGAAAAAATGAACAAATGCCTTATAAGACAAAAATTATTGATAGAAAAGTCTGAAAAACTTTATGTATAAAGAAATAGAATTCCTAAGTTATAAACATATAAGGAAAACTTTAGGCCCAAATGTCTTCACTGGGGAATTTTACCAAACATTTAATAAAAATAAATAATATTCAGACTCTGGAGGGGGGAATCCTTTCCAACTCAGTTTTTGCAACTAACATTACTCTGTTTTCAAAACCAGACATATAACTTTAAAGAAAATCGAACACTAATATTCCCAATATTACTCATGAAGGTAGATATAAAATTTTTCAATGAACTATCAACAAATAGAATTCAGCTAGCTACAATAAACATAATTCATTATGATTAACTGAGATTTTTTATTAGAAATGCTAAATTGCCTTAATATTTGAAAAATCAATACAATTCATATTAATAGGATAAATGGGAAAGGGAGAGAGAATGTTTTGTTTCCTCAGCGCAAGAATAAAAAGTACATTTGATAAAATTTAGCCCACATTCATAACCAAAATTTCATAAAAATGGGAATAAAATGAAAATCTCTCAAACTGATATCACTTTTTAAATATGTATAGCAAATATCATATTAGATGAGAAAAGACAATTTATTTTTTTTCTTATTTATTGCTAGGCTTGCTTTCTTTCCCTTCCTTTCATTCTTCTTTTTGTTGGCCTCGCTAGTCTGTCTAGTTTGTATAAGTAAGACAGAAAAGTAGAGACAAAAATGTTATTTTTTGAATTTTCAGATGGCATATTGTGTGTTTAGATATTCCTAAGGAATCTCCAAAAACTACATTAGAGCTAATGATTGAAATTTAGAAGGTCACAGCATACTGCCAATATACAAAATTGTTTGTTTTATATATTATTAATGAAAAATTAGACAATGAAATATTTTAAACACCATTATATTTTCATATTAGCATCAAAATCATGAAATATTTAGGGATAAATTTAAACAAAATATATCCAAAATCAATGTACTGGAAATCACCAACAAATTACTGAGAGTAATTAAATATATTAAGAAAAAATATACTCATGAATTGGAAGACTCAACATGGTTAATATGTCAATTCTTCCCAAACTGATAGGTATAATATCATTCTCGACCAAACTCTCAGCTAGCTGTTTTGTAGAAGTTGGCAGGCTGTTTCTAAAATTTATGAGGAAAGTTGGAGGACTTCAAGACTTACTACAGAACAAGAGAAGCAAGACAGTATCATGTTAACTTAAAGTTTAATAATTAAAGAAAAGAAAACAAAACAAAACAAAAAACGGGGAATCCAGAATTGGGTTGATCAACTCACTCATAGATGGTCAATTGATTTTCAAGAAAAGTATCAGGCAAGGCTCTGTGTTTATTCCCTAGTTCTGGGGGGAAAAAATGTGTCAAGGTAATTCCATGGGAAAAAGGATGATGAAATGATTGTAACAAATGGTGCTGGTGCCATAGATGCCCATATAGAAAAAGAATAAATGTTAACTACTTTGCCATATGATGCACAAAAACAAACAAACAAATAAAAAACATGAAAAAGAATCAGAGATTAAAATATAACAACATGTAAAATATGCAGGAAAACAGAAGACATTTTTTGTGATATTATTATAAACAAAAGATTTTTAAGGTAACAGAAAAATAGATATAAAATTAGATATAAAAATAGATATAAAATTGATGAAGTAGATGCATCAAAAACTTTTTAAAAATGTTCTTTCAAGGTATCTTGAAAATATAAAAAAGGAAGCACAAACCAGGAAATAATATATCTGGCAAAGACTTATATAGAACATATATAGAAAAATATTTTAACTCAATAATTAAAAGACAACCCAATTTTTTTAAGCAAAGCAAGCAAATGAATTAATAGATAATCAAAGATATATATATATACAGATAGCCAATAAGGACATGAAAAGCTCAGCATTATTAACAGGGAAATGCAAATTAAAAGTCATCATAAATTACTGTGTACCTACTAGAATGGGTAAAACTAAAGAGAATGATGATGCCAAATATAGACAAGGCCACGTTTCAACTAGAATGCTTGTTGTTTGCTATGGGGATGTAAAATGGTACAATTTTAGAAGATACTTTGTTTTTTGGGTTTTTATTTGTTTGTTTTTCCTCTAAGACCCAGAAATCTTCTTCTAGGTTTTTACCAAGAGTAATGAGAACATTTGAACATACTTGTTACACATATTTTTTTCATAGCAATCCTTTAATTTCTCTAGCACTGAGGATGGAATCCAGGGCCTTTCAATGTGCTAAGCAAGCAGTTTACCACGGAGCTACACCCCCAGCCCTCTCATAGCAATTTTATTCATAATAGTCAAAAATTAGAAAAAATTGAAAGGTTCATAAAGGAGAATGAGTAAATAAATGGGATATATTCACAAAAGAGAATATTATTCAATAATAAAAATAAGTAAAGTACAGATGGGTGTAACATGAATAGATCTCAAAAATGTTATGTTGAATGAAAAAAGAAACACAAACTGATATAGACACACAAGAGCACATACAATATAATTCTGTTTATGTTTAATTCTAAAATGTCAAAACTGACCTATGGTGATAGAAAGCACATGGTAGCCTGGAGCTGGCGAGGGGAGTATCTGTAAGTAAGCACAACAATAATTTTGGAAGGGATAAAAACATTCTAAATTTTGATTGCATT